TGATGGATAAGGGAAGAGCAACTGATGTCATCTACTGTGACTTCTGCAAAGCATTTGACACTGTTTTGCATGATATCTTGGTCTGTAACCTGGAGAGACACATAACTGACAGACAGACCACTTGGTGGATAAGGAATTGGCTGGATGGTTGCACTCTAAATGTTGCCATCAAAAACTCCATGTCCAAGTGGATAGTAGTGACAAGTGGTGCTCCTCAGGGGAGAGCATTGGGACTGGTACTGTTTAACATCTCTGTCAATGATATGGACAGCTGGGAGCACCCGCAGCAAGTTTTCCAATGACACCAAGCTGTGTGGCATTCACTAGAGAGAAGGAATGCCACCCAGAGGGACCTAGAACAGGCCCAAGAGATGGGCCTGTGCAAACCTGTGGAAATTCAGTAAGGTCAACTGCAGGATTCTGGGTCAGGGCAATCTCAAGCACCAATACAGGCTGGGCAGAGAATGGGTTGAGAGCAGCCTTCTGAAAGAAAGATGTGGTGGTGCTCATGGACAGGCAGCTTACTGTGACCAGCCATGGGCACTCACAACCCAGAAAGCCAATTGTATCCTTAGAGCAGCTTCCAGTGGGCCTACACGAAAAGTTGGAGAGGGCCTTTTCACAGGGGCTTGTAGTGATAGGAAGGAGGGAATGACCTTAACATGCAGGAGGACAGGTCTAGATGAAATACTAGAATGAAATTCTTTACTGTGAGGGTGCTGAAATTCTTTACTGTGAATGGGTTGCCCAGAGAGGCTGTGGATGCCTTATCTCTGAAAGTGTTCAGGGCTGGGCTGGATGGAACCTTCTAAGTGAACCACGTAGTGGGCAAAAACTAAAACAAATAAACACATTTAGTTCCCCATATATGAGAAGAGGACATGGTAATTCAGTAACTAAAATTAAAAACTATTCATTATCAACTACAGATATACGGTAATATTGTTATTCACTGCAATACTGTAATATTCACTAACCTCTTAAAAGACATTTGATATTATTCTGAAAATTTCAGATATAAAATCTAAAAAGAACATGAGCTTAAGCTTAAACTTCTTAGCAGCTTCTATGTCTTGTGCACCAACACTGCACACTAGAACAAAGTGAATTTTTAACAGATTAATAGATTAAGTATCTAGAGCTAGAGCTCATTGATATCTCACTAATCTGGAAGAAGATTACTCTGGTATCACTTCCATTATTGATTTAAATATACTTTGGAAGAAAAGGAGATATTTTCTGCCATACAATAAATTAATTTTTCAAGGAATATGAAGCAACAGACTACAACAAATAGGAAACCAATCAATCAGAAGTGGTTAAGCTTTGATGAACATTGCAGGTCCATATGAGCGACTAAAGCGTCTTCTAACTGATGGTATCAAATCTGCTACTAATCCTGACACCGGGAGCATATCACAGAATCCTAGAATGTTTTGAGTTGGAAGGTATCTTTACAGCTCATCTAGTCCAATCCCCCAGCAATAAGCTGGGGGATTGGACTAGACATGAGGTTGCTCAGAGTCCTGTCAATCATGATGACGAATGGTTCCACTGAAGGAAAAATTATCACTTTGAGTAACCTGTTCCAGTGTTTCACCACCCTCATCATAAAAAACATCTTACTTATATCTAGTCTGAATTTACTCTCTTTTAGTTTAAAAATATTATTCCTTGCCATATCAATACAGGCTCTAATTTCTTGTCCCCGTCTTTCCTATAAGGCCATTTTAAGTACTGGAAGGTTATAATCAGCTATTGCTGGAGTGTACTCTCCAGACTGTACAGCCTCAACTCCCTCAGCCTGTCCTCATGGGAGAGGTGTTCTCATAAACTTGGTGTCTTTCTTCTGGACCACCCCAACAATTCCATGTCCTTCCTGTGCTGTGACCCCAGAGCTGATGCAGCCCTGCAGGTGGGGTCTCAGCAGAGCAGAGCAGAGGGGCAGAATCCCCTCCCTGGCCCTGCTGCCCACACTGCTCTGGATGCAGCCCAGGACACGTGTGGCTCTCTGGGCTGGGAGTGCCCATGGCTGGGTCATGTCCAGCCTCTCAGCCACCAGCACCCCCAAGTCCTTCTGGGCAGGGCTGCTGTGATCTGTCCATCCCCAGCCTGTGCTGGTAGCAGGGCTGCTCTGATCCAGGTGCAGCACCTTGCACTTGATCTTGCTGAACTTCCTGACAATCACATGGACCCATTCCTTGACCTCATCCTGGCTCCTCTGGGTGTTAGAGGCAGTTCAGGGAACACATTAAATTCTAATCTGAAGCCCTACTAGTCCTGTCAGCTTTGTTTTTTGGTGTTTTACACTAACTTTCTTTTCAGTTAAAACTAAGAATTGACAGTGGATGTAAGTGGTTTGGTCTTTTTTTTTTTTTTTTTGTTTTCACTGAATAGAAGTCAGAAAACAAAAATTATTATTTCTCCAAATACTGTGTTATTAAAAACTCTAAATTCTAAACTGATTTAATAAAGAAATATTAAAACAAATGCAGTAAGAAGCAGGTTAAAAAGCTGACTAGATAATTATTTAGGTAGCAGTGCAAAAAGAGCCATTATAAAGAAGTTCCTGAGTGAATTAAAAAACTCTCACAAAGCATTACTGCTTGAAAGAAAACCTGTTATTTATACAAGAAAGACTTGAATTCTAGATATCCCTGTACATTATGACTCCAGGTGACAGAAATTAGCCACCAGAGGGAGCCCATATAATCTGGTAAAACAGACATCACTGTACAGATACATTTCAGATACGCAATTATCTTTACTGTAAATGGTTTGTAGTTCCCATCAGTTCTTCATTTCAGATTCACTCTTATTTTTACAGATATAAATAAAAGCAAGTGAACTCTGTTTTGAATAACTATAAATAGCTAGAATATACCAAAATACTTTGCTTTGCATTGCCTTTTTAGTTTATTTCATCTGAAAGTATCCACCATCTCACATATCATAGTAACCCACAAATAATATGAAAATTATTAAAAAAGGCTTACATAGTCCTGGGGAATTTTAAAATATTGCCTTTAAACTGATTTAATTTGAAACCAACAGTGACATCCAGATGACAGTTTTTCTGCATTTGTTTTGTAAGCCAAGTCAGTACCATTTCTTACGTTGAATATTCAGATTTTTCTGAGGAGCCATCTCCTCCTTCAACCTAATTAATAAATACATCCCACAGACATTCGACATTTGTTCCGTGAATTATCTTTTCATCGTGATCAGTTCTCAGATGCAAAAAAGTGGGAGTTTAATCAAGAAAAAGCAGTCCTTAAGAGTGGTTGTTTCCTTTGCATTCTCAGAAGACTGATACCTCAACTTTGAGTTCCAAATCTTTTGAATTATCAAAGTTTTATGATTCTAAGTTAATAAAATAAATATACTAGAAGCAGTAAGCATTACTAATGTCACTAGAAGTCTGTGTTGCTAGTTTTTAATACTTCAAAACTTCTTGTGAATTTATATTCTTTTGCTGCTGAATTTGACTATGCTTTCTCCCTGCACCATGACTGCTTGACAAAGTTCACATCAATAAAATAATTTAATACTGTAAAAGAAAATCCAAGGTGCATATATTTACACAATAAATGTGCTATTGTTCCCTAAAATATTGTGCTTAACTTTCTTAGAATATATTTGGAGAAGTTTTTATTTGTCCTCAGAGAGCACAGATGGGATCTGAAGAACTGTAAAGCAGCAGGTAATTATAAATGTGAGCAATTTCTCCATTAAATTAAAAACTGAAGTATTACTTCTCTAAAAATTACAATGTTGTCTGGCAAAACCCATGCTTGATAGCATGACTTGAAGTGTGCAATGTTCTAGGACAAATTAGCATGGGTCTTGGCAACCCAGGCAGTCAGAACCTTAAATGCAAGATGGAGATCCCTCATCATGACATCTTGGCAACAGCTAATCCAAGAGGTCTGAACACCAAATTGTCACATGTCTTTGTCCTGTTTCAGACCAACTCAACTTGATACCCTGAAGTTCACACATTTTCTTTTTTGACCTTTACTGAGAAATTGATAAATACACAGGAAACTTTCCATATGTTCCGTATCAGCCCACTTGGATATCAGCATTACAGGATCACAGAAAGAATACGAAACCATCTTATGTTAAAAACACGTCACACACACATTGCAAGATACCTAATAATATTTAAAAATTCATTGATAATTTTCATTATCTACTCTGGTACGTACATTCCTGCTCTAGGAAAAAAAACCATCTTTGTGTGCCTCTACTAGAAGACAGAGCTGCTTGTGAGGACTCCTAGCACAGAAGGAAAGAGTACTACTAATTCCTGTATTTACACACCTAGTGTATATTCATGCCAATATTAAAGTGACACTACATAGCAGTACTCTGAGAATGCCTTTTGCCTTTTTATGCCAGTCCAGGAAAGTCTTACCACACCCAATCAACAGTCAGAAAGTACTATTCAATTTGCTTCTTACTACAGAAGCAATACACATTACTGTATATTAAAATAATTTTATATAAAAATAGATATTGTGTATCTATTAAAATGATAATTTGGTAAGCTCAACAAACTGATGCAACTGTTCCAATAGTTCAATAAGCAGCTTTATAGACATCTGCTCTTAATATGTTTATATTCAACGAAGTTCTGAAGCACAGTTTATGCAGAATCACAGTTTGTACAAGAAACACATAGCAGACAATACATAGTTTGTACAAAGAACTACAGCTTCTCGACCAATTTCCCAGATGTTCCAGGAAACTGCATAGTTTAGTAGTACAGACCAATAAACTACCAAGCATCATGAACAAAAGTACTACATGCACATAATGAATTCTGCATTACCAATTTCTACAAACCAGTTAATATCAAAGTCGATGAATACTAAGAATTTGAAAATATGTTAAAAATAGAGCACATCAACAAATATGAGTTTGACATTTCATTAGGAATAGAAATTCCAGTTTTAAAGCTAAGATTTCCTATTCTGTTAGTTTTAATTTCTTACCAGGTCTTTCCTTGCCAGTTCCTTTTGACTCAGCAAATTTCTGTATTAAACTCTCAACTGTAGTATTTGTCATGTTATTAATAAATTCCTCATGCACCTTCAAAAAAAAAAGCGATTAACTTCAAGAAGTAGCTTTTGCTGTAGTTAAAATTCAAAAACCTTCTCTATAAAATAAATTACAGGACTTAGAGAAATCAACAGATATTTTATCTAGGAAAACCTTCTCTTTTCTGTAGTATAAGCAAGTGTGGGCACACTACAGACAAAAAATGAAATGACAGATCTAGGTTTTACTTCCATTTCTTTCATGTTAAACAACTTGTGTATATATATACTTTTAAAATTTGTTGGCAACATATCTCACTATAATGTCAGGAAGACAGGCAGTTTTTTCAACCAGCACCAGTTTAGGGTGTGAACTGTCACTACTGTATTATCACAACTCCCACCTGCTCGAGTAATAAGCATTACTGTTGTAATAGTTTTGGTCTAGCAACATGTTGTTTTTGTCTAACAACATGCTGTTAATAGGTTTTTCCAACAAGGCAGGATGTGTATATACATTAGAAATAAACAGCATTACCCTTGTGATGACCATTTATTAGCAGAAAACCTCAATACTAAAGTATAAGCAAATAAAGTGACACCTCAAAAAAAAAAGAGAACTGTTTATAAAGATTATTCATTAAATAAACTTCCATCTAAAAAAAATATTATAAAAAGCTTCTGTTACTAAATATCTTTTGCTCATAAAGTCCAAGAGTATAAAATATTTGGAAACTGTTCAGAGTGGTATAATTTCTAGTTCTAATTAAAAAAGCAGTATCCTAAATCTGTGTGAAATTAGGGCTAAATTAATATTCAGGAAGCAGAATTTAAAAATACACCAAAAATTCTTCAACTTTTGAATTCTTCTAATTGTCCTAATATTTTTTTTCTTGATGACAAAATTCATCCAGTCTTATTCTGTGAACTATGTGACACTGGACTTAAAAATGCAACAGGAAGCCATGGAAATTTGACCTTATGTTGAATTTCACAGAATAAGAAATTCCATTGGATAGTTAAGGAAAAACATAAAGCATAATCCAAATATAGTACAAAAATACCTCTCCTATTTGTAAATGAATTTCTTTTATGGTATTTGACAATGACTGTATAATCTCTTTCATTCGAAGAAGGTGCATTTCTTCGATGTCTTGAAATTTCTGCAAACAAATATGAGAAATTAATCATAATGAAAATATTTCTTGAAACACTAAATCTTAAATTTCAATAATTAAATACAATAAAATGAAAAAATAACAAATAAGCCTCTTTTTTTTTTTTCTCCACATCTTAAACATAATAGTTACATTTAAGAAAGGTGCAGAATTCAGAGTTATGAAATAATGAACTTTAGAAAGCAAGCAATCATTTCAGAATCATTATTGAACTTTTTTACTTACTTTTTGAACTTTCACCTAATCTTTCAAAAAAAAAAATCTGATCTATTTCTACCAAAATATGTTTAGAAGGTGTTCAAGTTTCTTCTTTTCTTCATATCTGAAAAGTCTTTTTTTTTCATCTAAACCAAGAAATCTTATGTCTGAATCTGCTTTGCACTTCCTTTTTAGAACACTCATAAACATACACACTCTCTCTCTACTTAAATCTATGTTCTTTGCTTCTTTAAATATGATTTGTTTGATCTTTAAACTCATCATACCTATTTTTTACAGTTTGTTCCTTTTTACCCAGGCTGTCAGCTGACAGCCATTTTAAAATCACTTCCAAAGTTTTCAATGGCCCCTTCCTGGCCAAAAAACAGAACTAAAAATGTTCTCATCCTCCCCAACAATCAACCATAACAGTCTTGAAATCTTTGTTTACTTCTGCTCTTTCCTAGTTCTCTGCCTATTTCTGTAACTACTCTTTCAAGTGTGTCCAAACTTTGATGCACCACTTAATCCTCTCTCCAATTTGCACAGAGTTCTGTGAAGATCCTGATCTTGAACATCCTGCTACTTTCATTCACAAACCTGACTCCATGCATACAAGACATATATCTCTAGCTTCTTAGACCCTCAATCTTCTGCCATACTTATGTACCTCTGCAGTCATCACTCAGGGAGATTATTATGATTTTCTTTTTCTTCAGCAGCCTTCATCTTAATTACAGAAGATACAGCAATCCTCTGTACCCCACTCTATGATTTTCTTTCTTTTACTGGACATTACAAGACACATTTAAGCTAAACCAACTGATTTTGCACTGAAAGAAATGAAAATACACTCCTCACTGGTTTAGTTTTCAGAACTAATCAGCATATTTTCAAATTAAATGTATGTTGAATTAAGACAATACAGGATGTGCTTCACATAGAAGTGGGCTTCCATATATTCATGGATGTCATTTTTCCTATCACATCATCTTTAAAGTAGCCATTGTGCAACCAAACTATGAATGCAGCTACACCATTATACTTAAAATGAATTCCACACATACATCTTTAATTGGCAGAATGACAAATTTAATTTCCAATATGGACAAATGTGGAAAGTTTACAAGTGTCCGTAATAACATTAAGTGAAAATTTCAATTTTAAGTAAAAGCATAGTTACAGTTAAGGAGCTAAGGACATTTAGCCAAATGCGGTTTAAAAGGTAGCAAGAAATGGCATATGCATTGATACAGAGAACCTGAAATCTTCCAGAATATAGTCTTTTAAAAACCCCCAGGAATGCAAACAGCTGTAATGGCTTTTCATAACCTCAGGTAAATCCTGGGTAGGCATTTTAACAAACTGTAACTGTAGTGTTTCAATGGAATAATAATGAAAAGCCACAATGGATCCCAATATTAAAATTACTGTAAATGAGTCCATGGTGCCCAGCAATTCAGAGGATTTTCCACATAAACACAATGCATATACAATACTTCCAGAAGTTCATTATGCTTTCTTCCAAAAATTTCTTCAAAACACTTTCTAGAGTGCCAGCACACCACTGTGTCATTGAAGGACAGTGCTATCACAACATACAGAGTCAGTGTTTGCCTTTCAAACAAATCAATTTCCAAAGAGACTAGTTTTTTTAAATCTTTAATTTCAGATGGCTCCAGAAATTAAATAGAATACATTAACTGACTTCAAAAGTAACTCATTTAATGCAACACTTACCTGTGCTGTTTCTGTCATTTTCAGTTCAAAATCAGACTTAAATGCAGCATACTTCTCCACATAGAGTTTATAGGTATCTGTTGCTTTTTTAGATTTAACTGCTGCCTATAGATCAATACAAAAATGTGGCAAATGTCACATACAGTTTTTTTAAAGTTACTATTAAACGAAAGCCTAGGATGAAGTCTAAAAATTATCAGGGGCATACCAAAACAGAGAAGCATCACAACAAAATTTCAACACCAAATATCTCAGGTAAGAGCAAATTGAGATTTTACTATACATAAATCACACACAAGTGTAACAAATTAACTCAATTAAATCCCTTCCCGTTATAAGCAATGAAAATTTTATAAAAATATTTGTAGCAAAACTTATTTTGAAAAAAAAATTTTATTGCTGAAGTCATTAGCTCTTGTCAAATAGGAACAACAAATTTATATTTGCAACAGCAAAATAGGAAAAAAGAAGGGTTAGAATACAGAGCAAACAGTTACAAGTGCAATTCTGAAAGATTCAATGGCAAAAAACCCATGTGCTGAAGTTCTCTTAGAAATGAAGAGAGAAACTCAGAAGTATGGGCATTACATCAATGGATTACCAGATATTTGAAAGTGGAGCTAGTGCAGAAGTGCAGAATATAGTGAAGGTCAGATTTAGGCAGGCCAGTGTTATTATCAATAGTCCTTTGGACATTTATACTTTTCATTATTTGCTGCTAATAAACCAAAATCTTCTTTTTGGAACTTAAGTAGAACATAAAACAAAATACAGGAAAATCTCAGTATTACATGGAGAACAAAACTAAATGAAGTGACTGATTGTGGTAGACAAAAAGTTATTTTCAAAGTTTACAGCATGATGCATGAGATGAAGCCTTTCAAACCACTGATAATCCATTTCCAAATTAAATACCAATGAAAATCATCTTGAACACCCTTTTCTTTCCTAGCTTATTTATTCAACATGCTTACTATCTCTCCGAAATTTCCCATCATTTGTAACACAAAAGTATTCCTGAATTGTTAATGAGATCACTAAAGAGAATTATATATTTTCTATTTGTTCTAGTTGTAGCCCTCCTCCCCTCAATTTGCAATTGAATTTAAGTGCAAATCAATTTCATCTGTCTAACAAAAACTATTTTTTACTTACAATTATTTGTAAAGCTGACTGCTATCTGTAATTTCAAATGAGTTAATAGAAAGATGCCCTCTGGCAAGACAGAGAGAGAGATACTCTACAATTTCCAAGAGAAAAATAACTGATAATCATGAGTAACAGTATACCATTAGTACTTCAAAGGAACAGGATTCAAAACCAGTTGTTCGTTCAGTTACAAAGAAAGCCTAAGCATATCTTAGTCACAAAGTCTTCTACACTCAGCATAATAGAATGTGAAAATACTTTAAGTAACAAAAATATGGATTATTCAGAAAAGTTTTATCAAAACTGTCAGTTTATTATCCTGAATTTTACTTCATGATTCTCACTCATACACATTTACACAGGAGAATCACTGAGAAGGAGACAGTGCTATTGTGTTTTCCAACTGCCATTTACTATGCTGAAAATACAACATGCTCCCTGAAATCTTCCTTTTAACATTAAGGCTGCTTTGAAGTTGATTGCAAAATTAATCACTGAAAAGGAAGGAAATGTCAAGCTAAAATATGTAAAAATAGGGGTTTTTTGGTAAAGCATTTTTAATTGAACACTATGTGCAAGGGAATTTGACAAAACAAGAACACTCTCCATTTCCCATCATGTTTAATGGTGAGCAGAATGCCAGTATTACATGTTGAAGAGCAAATAAAAAACTAAGTACTCAACAGGACAGAAAAAATGATAAAACACATGGACACTGTATGATTAACTAGTAATCTCTTCTGAAAATAGGATGCGACTATTCTCAGGTACAGCAACTGCTAGAACTGTATTTACAGTACGTGACCAGATTTACAGTATGTGAAAGAATAAGGATCAGTCAACTGATTTTTTGCTGAGTCACTGTAAATAGAGAACTTTACATGTCAGAGAACAACAGGAAATTATTATGCAAGTTAGTATTAACTTCCAGCTTTAACAAGACTTGCAAGGTCTCAGATACTTTATTGAAGAATTTAAGGAGGTATCTCACCAAACATTTTACTTTGTGATATACTCTTAGTTATACTGGTGCAGATCCCTTGTTTTCTCAGAAAGCAGTGAATCTGCAATTTTGCCAGCAAATAGTTTTCATGTTGCACTGAAAGTAATACATCTATTTTCTACCAAAGGAAAACTAAATTAATACCATTTTTGGTCACTCTGTTTACAAAACTGCAAGTGTAAATTTGAATAGAGGCATGACTGAAGAGATGTGACAGTGTCAGTTACCTACTCCCACTGGAAACATATTTTAAGTACTTGCATTCAAGTACTATTCAATGACAGAATTGTATCTAAGGAAGATGCATAAACAGTAAAAAAATTACCCTCCTCCTTTAATGCTTCCTCTTTCCCCCTTCTCACGCAGACATCTCTCAAGCTGATTTGTTTGTTTCAAATGAAGGATTAATGCTACATCTTAAAAAGTCTTCCCTCAAGTCAACCTTTCCTACTGAAACTCTATTTACAAGAATTTTAAAAAATTATACTTTGAATACACTGGCAGGAAAACATCCACCAACACACATCTGATTCACGTCTAGAATCCAGCATGAACTCTCATTTGAGACAGAAGCTGGGGGGAAAAAAAGCTAGATTTATACCAAGATAAAATAATTGAAACATAGTCAACAAAATAACTTTTGTCATCACTGAAAAGGAGGACAATAACCAATGCTATCTTCTCCATCAAGATAGCAGGACTAAAAGCAAAAACATCATTCTAACAAGAACCAAGTCCTACACAGACCAGTTAATTGGAATGGAAATAGCCAGAGGAATCATGATTTACTAAGAGAATTTATGACTAGAGACAAGGAAAGGTGACTTCTTTCCTGTAGTAGTTGGATTCCTGAAAAAAGGAAAAAGTTACTTTTTTCCCAGCAGGTCAAGGAAGGGGACCTTTCCCTTCTACTCAGCAGGCCCCACCTGGCGTAGTGTCTAGTTTTGGAATTTTTATTGCAAGTGAGACATGGACATACCGGAGAGAGTCCAGTAAAGGGGCATGAAGATGATGAAGGGACTGAAGCATCTCACCGATAAAAAAAACCTGAGACTGCTGTAACTGTTCAGCCTGGGCAGGGAAGCCTGAGGGAGAATCTTACCAATAGATATAAATACCTGAAGAGAGGCTACACAGAAGACAAAATCAGGCTTTTTTCAGTGGTGCCCAGTGATAGAACCAGAGACTATGGGCACTAACAGAAAACACAAAAGGTTCCCTTCCTCTGAACAGAAGGAAACACCTTTTTCCTGTGAAGGTGATTCAGCCCTGGCACAGGTTGCCCATAGAGACCGTGGGATCTCCATCCTTCTACTATCCTAGCAGAAAATACTAGAGAGCTGTCTAGACAAGGTCTTGAGTAACTGGCTTTAGATGGCCCTGCCTGACTGAGCATGAGGAATAGAGAGGATAACTTTCTGAGGTCCCGGTCAACCCCAGATATTAAGTGATCCTGTGAATGGATCAACCCTCCATCACAACCCAAGGACAGTACTAAATACATCAAGACACTAATTGTATTGACTCATTGTCAAGATCCCTTGAATCTCTAATCCATGAGACTGGAACGTTTTAAAACAGCAGTGAAAGCATTGATAACATTTTCTTTATTGAACAGACTTCAAATACTAATGTACTCAGCTACTTTATCTCTTTGCTGGGATAACACAATTACTCCTGAGTTCAGTTACAAGGGCATTGAGCATTCATGTAAGGAAATATATTCAAAAATGCAAGAGATGCTAAGACAATTCGGCACAATTTCTGTTAAAGTCACTTAACAAAACTATCTTTTGATGCAGGTATTTACAAAGTGAAGAATTAGAACTACAAGAACAGACAAGGAAGTAAGTGTAAATAAAACATATCTAGGTATTCACGACATCATGCATACTGCAAAATATTCACAAATTTCAACTATGTTAACCCTTTCTGAGCACTCCACTTACTAATACAAGGTGAACATGTAAGACAACTAGTAGCACTGTGGGAAATGGAAAGATAGAAACCTCCACAGATACAGGGAGGTTTGATCTGCAGCCTTGGAAGGAGCTTGGGTTGGTGTAAAAATAAAGTACACAGACATTAAGTAGAAAAATCATAAACTTATGTCTCTATAGTTGTACATAATAATATACCTTAAGTAAGTAAGAAACTATATTGGGTAAGATGGAGAAGGTCTGTAGCAGAGTAATGTAATTGTATAGAAAAAGTTAACAGTTTAAAAGTTACAATGGAAGTATATGAGTATACGTGTGATAATAGCCCACTGGGTAAAAGTATCTGCAGTGCAGTAGAAGTGAGTAAAGGTGATAGGTTAGAAAAACAAAATAAAGCTTGTGGAGACTGTTAGTTTAGAAAGTTATATATTCTCTTGTAATGAAGAACTTGTGACTATATTGAGCTATGGCCAGCGGCTTGCTCCTTTAAAATCTCACGGCCTCTGAGAATGATGTTTATCTGAGAAATAAATCATTCTTAGCCTAACAGTGGTCCCATTTCTTCATTAAAAGCAGCAATAATAATAATGCACAATTAAAGTAAGATGTGACAGCTACCTTTTCAATTTCTCTCTGTGTTGCTCCTTCCTTTTTCAAGCGTTCTTGTTCCACACACTTTGCATTGTAGTTTTCTTTTGATTTCTGCAAGGCCTGAGTGATACTTTGAATATTTTGCACTGCTTCCAAAGTTCCTGAAACATCTTCTTTAGTCTGCCAAACATCATATGGTTGTCAAAACCAAACCATTTTAATTTTAATGTTAACAAGTCATTGGACATACATAAAAAAAAAGAATTAATAACCTTTTTATAAGCTTTGATCTGTTCATCTCCATATTTGTGAACTTCTTTTATTAGCTCTTGTAATCGCCGCACAAGATCCAAGTGACAACTTGCTAGTTTTTCTGTTGAGATTTTGAAAACATCCCAAACTGGTGCAAATGTCCTGGATTGAGGAAAATAATGTTAGTCTGGCTTTTTTTCTCTTTCAGTTGGCAATTTTTTAGTAGTGCTACAGAATAATCAGTATGTTTACAGTTCACTTCTCCTCCTAAAACTGAACAAACAAAACATCCAATGTTAACTTGTATTGGCTCTAATAAGGTAAAACAGTGCAAATTTCATTTAACACTATGATGAGCACACAATAATGCCAAGCATCAAGACAGTGCAAGAACAGCTTAAAATAATTTTACATGTAGTAAATATTACTATGTGTATACTTGAACAGTGTGAACAAATGAGGAATTTCTTGGTTAGTTACATCTCTAGTTGTCTTACACCACTGCAGCCACAAGATGGAGGAAAAAATATTGGCAAAGATGGTTTGCCACTAAAAAGGATTTACTGATTAACGAAGATGAACAAGGAAGTGGGATCATTTCTCAGATTCAGATTTCTGTGTTGAACAGGCTGTCCAAGTGTTCCAAAGACATACTTCTACCTTGCTATTCTGGTTAATGCTGCTAAAAATCAATACTAACCATAGGCTTTTAAGTTCTTATGTTCAAAGGTTCTGCATCTGCCTGTTAGTTTAAAAAGCAGAAACAACTATTATCAAACTATTCACTGATGAAAACTCCCCACATTTCTAGATTACGTTACTATAATTGTTTTTTAAAATCTAATTTTTCTCAGAAGACTGACTTTTCATTGGCCTAATCTTTCTAACGGAAAAGTATCCATTAATCATTCTAGTTTTTAAAAACATACCCTGAGTATAAAACTTCAATTTAACGATGGAATAAATCTATGGAAAAGTCTCATTCTGAACATCTTTGAGAACAGGTAACACTCCAGAAACCAGAAATAATAGAAATAAATTCACTGCTGCATTTGCAGGCCATATGTTCTCTCTTCAAAATTATTTCCATAGGCTTGAGAGGACATCATAGAAGTAAATAAGTCTGAAAAGAACTCTGCTTTAAACACAGAAGAAAAGACAGTTTATCTGTGTTTGGGCTTTGCTCTTTTTATTCAGTTCAAAGAAGCGCACTGTCTTTCTCTTTGTCTGCACAAATTTCTGCACGGTTACTAAAGACCTAACAACCATTTTTAAAGGTAAAGTTATACTAACCTTCAACATCATCAATAAAATATTCAGAATCAGACTTGATTCTTACCATGCATATAGTCACTTATTTCTCTCTTATGTACACTTACGTACCCAAGTTGTGTGTAATTGCTTGCTGATTTGGCTAGTTTTGTCATCGACCTTGAATATGTCTCCTCTATTGTAGCCCTGCCAAAGAAAGCCATCAAAAGTACAATCAAGATTTTGAAGGTAAGAAGATTGAATATGCATTCTACAGGTACAAAACAGAAGACTTTTTATGTGAACTAAAAATTACTCCATTTAAATGACCTCTCAAAAGCTAGACAAAAAAAATCACATTAGTATATCTAAAAAAATAATCTAAGAACCCTGTGACAAAACATTGCAGGGAGCAGAACAAGTAAAACCCAGGAACTCAAAGCTTGAAAAAGACAATTCCTTCCTTTCTATTTGCTGTTCTCAACTGCCATTAACATTCCTTAGTAACAGATGGAACAAAGCAACAAAATAAAATGTATTTGTATGAAAACTTTACAATAAGCAAAAAATATTTACAGAGCAATCACATAAAACAAAATGAGGTCTTTTTTAGTCTTAATGGTGGGGGTAGGCTATTCTTTCCTTTAAGTTCTTCACATAGTAATACTTGAGTTTAGAAATTACACGAAGTGTTCTTATAATTTCCTTCACTTGAACACACAGTTTCACTTGTCTTTTAGAGATGCAAAATCCAAGGGTTGGCACAGGTTTCCTCCTTAGAGCCTTTGCAGAGGCAATTGGCATGGAATCACCTATTACAGTAGTGACTCCCTGCAAGTCCTTCCCCATTAATCTTCCTCACCCTCCTATTATTAAAGATAAACAGTATTTTAATTTTTCACCCTAAACAATATTCACTATATAGTGTCAACTTAGAAGCATCCTAGATATGAGTAAATACTGTAATTGTCTTTTCTTGAAAAACTTGGAGCAATTTCTTTCCTGCTGTGTAACACCTTTACACAGGACACGAGAGAAGAACAAAAGGCAGATGAAGAATTCATCCCTCTCTCAAGTTATACCATGTCTATAACCTGAGACAGAAACTTTCATTTCTCCTGTACAGTAAGAGTTTACAAGCAAAAAGAATTGTCTTGTGAAAATATGAAAACAAAGTAGGGGTATTCACCTGAAACAGAGGAGTGTGTGTTAAAACCAACTGAACTTCCAAAATAACTATCCAGTTACTTAGCTGGAAATCTATTTGGAGAAGGCGATTAAACTGCAACATGCAACAGATAAATTTCATTCTGAATATTACCTGCTGCAAAGTTATTCACCATAAAAGAAAGTCAATTCACTTTATCCTTGTTCCACATATGATCATATCTTAGATGATAAGAAAACGTTCAACTTTCCAAGGCTTGGAAATCTTGCACACTGCACAACGGCAAGCACACATGCACCAAGCACAGACAATTTTTTTTTTTTAAATTACCATGATGAGCAATATATTTTGAATAATCATCTGTACAGTCTATCAAGGTTTTCCAGATTTTATAACTCATAAACTTATTTTTCCTTTCTTATTTTCATAAGAATTTTGCCCAAAATCTATATTGCTTTTCTTTGAACCAATTTACAGCATACTTCCCTGAACTATCTCCACAAAACTGGAGTTCTGCAATTCACCACAGAGTACTAACATACATCAGTAAAAAATACTAAGAACCGAAGGATGACCAGTTAGTACATTTATCCTATCAACTGACTTCGCAGAGCACTCTATTGTAAAGGTAACAGACTACGATTTTCTTAGTAAATTAATTTTCACCCATTTGAATGTGTGTCTTTGCCCAGGATCTGCCAAACATTTAAAAGTTAAATGGAAACATATGCATTGCTAGTTTCATCTGATCTCGAAGATTCTTTCCATGATGCTTACAGGCAATTGGTGCAGAAAAACATTAGAAAGATTCCTGGAGAAAAAACAACACATTTCTGTACCTACTTCTCTCCTAGAAAAACAGTGTGAATTCTTAGATATAAAAAGTTTAGATTTTAAATGCACGCAAACACATGACAGCTCACCTACAAAATCTTCCACATATATAAAGAAAAAAAAACAACTATGCAGGCAGCTCAACCTTCTTATTTTGACTTTAACAAACAAAAATTTCTACATGCTTTATAAGTGAAGTAGAGCCTTTATTCAAGGCTAGGTTGGAAGGGGCACTGAGCAATCTGGTCTAGTGAAAGATGTCCCTGACCACAACAGGGGAGGTTGGAACTTGATCATCCGGAAGATCCCTTCTAACCCAAACCATTCTATGATTTGATGATTTTAAGAACTGGTGTTTAACCTTTCAGCAGGTAGATAACCTGTCCCACTCATGGTTTACCAACATTAAGCAGACACCTGCCAGAAAACTCACTCCTTCAGATGACAAACTTCTGAACCACAGATCCAACTGGCTCCTGGCTCTTTTAATATGTGACTAGTAACAATACTGTGTCACCAAACACAGACAAGGAGGAAAACTTCTGCTCTTTCTAGGATATCAAGCAGGAATGGCAGATACAGCATAGAAATATTATTACAAATTGATATGTTTCAAATGTTTGTTTTTCACATTGAAAAAACTTTACAATCTTAGAATGTTCTTACAGAAATTTTGAAATATTTTTTTAAAAAAATGCTTAAGATAACAATAATTTTTCAAGTCATTCCATATCTTACACATTTTTTCATTACCATTTCTAAGGCTGGAGAAAAGGAAAAAATACTATTCCCCAGTTAGGCTACATACAACTAAAACACTATTCTCAACAGCACAAGTAACACAGATGGGCTTCACAAAGACATGTCTTTTGTAAGCAGCCTGTACATCCAAACACACTGACCCTTTTCTCCGTTCCATGCAAAATCACTTCATAAAAAGTCTATTTTCTGGCTAGTCTGGAGACTCCAGCAAGCCGAGCTGACCAGATGACTGCTCTACCTAGAAAGGGTAAGTACTCCAACTTGTTAAAAATATTACCACCAACTTAGATCTGTCTCTACCTATTCAATAGTTTTCAGTTTTCAATCTCTTATGTATCCACTTCTGAAAAAAAAGACAAAAAATGGCCAATGTGTAAAAAGGAATGGAAAAACAGATTCAGAATTCAAATGCATGTAAACTTAGTTTTCATAGGGAAGAGTTCAGCAAATCAGGTACACAAAAGCCAAGGCATAAAAACACTAGATCTAGATGGCTCCTAATACATGGTGCTCATCCACTGTATTTCCAGCAGAAGACAGTACAGTAAAACAATATTCAGACTATAATCTACAGAAGGAGGAGGAGAACAGATAACTGTGTGCATCATCTCTTAACTTCTTTGCAATTAACAAATATGCAAAATAGATCAGAGACAAGACAACTGAACCATTGTAAAGTACTGTTCAAGTACTGCCTAATCCAATTTCTTTTTGAGACCAAGAATTTGGCCCATGTGAAAAAATGTGTTCTACTGAACCATTTCTATTTCCCAGGAAGTTGAATGACATCCCACAGTAACTTCACAACAGTAGCAAAGGGCTTCACTGCACACATTTGGACTCTCAAATATTTTTATCAAAGTAAAGACACCAAATATTTCAAGTCTCTCTATTTTTTTGAATCTAAACTATATGTCACAAACTACTACTAGCTTAGGCTGTGATTGATCATTCGTCCCTTATTGAAAAGAAGTATTTGTTCCTCAAATGCTTTGCTTTTTGTTAATTGCAGCCTGTCTTATCAAGAGGCAGCAGAACTACAGGGCTGAAGAATACACAAGGCAGGTTTAATATCCTGATGGAAGCAAATCACTAGAAAGGACTGAATTTAATGCAGCTGGTCCCTTCAGGAACAATACTGCAGCTTTGTCAAGTAAATTGCAATACAGCACTCACATTCTATCTTAGTGAGTTAATGAGAACTGAATTTTTTTCATAGATCTTACAAAAGATGCTGTAAGATGGCTTCATATCTCTTTGGCACATCCTGATCCATGCACAGAAAAAAACAATTCTTGAACTCTCGTTGAGGATAAAGTACCCATGGGAATCCTCATGTATTCATACACGGTGATTAATCTTTAAATGTTATTTAACACACTAGAAATAATTGACAGAAACCTGAGCTGAAACATTTAATATGCGGAAAAAGGTTTAAAGATTTTCTTTATTGACTGCAAAGGCATATAGCTTAGAAGTTATTTAAAAATATTTAAATTAAAATTTAATTTGCAGAAGCTTATAGACAGAAAAAAACCCCAGAATTCTTTTTACTAGGGATTTTGTGCAGAAAGAACTGTCAGGTTTTACTTATGTCAGTATAACAAAGCAAAGAAACCAAGTCAGATATAACAGCAAGTTATTTTTTACTCATTTACGTAAGACCTTTCACCTTAGCACCAATATGAATAAAATGGAGCATGTCCAAAGAATACAACATACAGGAGACAAGAAGCAGAGAGTGAGATGGTTTCTCATCTAAATATCTAAATTTAGAGGTAAATCTAAACACAAAGGTTGTAAAACCAACAAACTCAAATGTGTCCAGGTAAGGTACAGCTTAGGTCCATGATGTGCTGGTATAAAAACTGAATGATTCCAAAAATTAAAGAAGATATCAAAGGAAAGATTCAGGAACTCACATAATAAAAGACAAATATTAAAAGCAGAAGTTTGTGAAGCACTAAGCATTTATACTAAATGTGAACAGTGCAACGTCCCTCTGCTGAATCCAGCTCCAGATTTCACTAGAACCCTTTGTAGATGCATAATTCATTCTCTGAAACTGGGGACTTGAAAAACAGAAGATTCCTTGGTTGTGCAGTTCCAAAAGGAGACATAACACTTGGACTCTGGAACTCATCCATTTCTACTTAGTGAAATGGTTTTTTGTCATTTTCTCCAATTCACTTTGAAATGACACTAATGTTAGTGCAATGGAGTATCTGTCAGATTTATGGTGGTAACATTTTGTGGAAATTTTAAAGTACTTTTTAAACTGAGATCTATTTGAGGCCAAAACTTAAATTTTGAAGAATTCCAGTTTGACAGCTTCTGCTGCAAGAAGCTAGCAGTGAAGCAAGTCCTCAATCAATACCTTGCAACTATTTTGCATATGTTACCTAGTGTCAGTAAGTGAGGAAAGGCAAAGTCCTGAAGTAGGCCTAGAAGTAATTTTGTTCAGAAGGGAAATCTGTATGTTCAATAGAGCAGCAGCAGTCTTCTTTTACAAAGAACTAAATGCAGCACTAGGTCACCTGTTTTGGAAGTTTGGAAGTCAAATTTTCATATTTCAGTCTTGTTCCCTCCATCCAATACAGAAGAACCTGTGTTATTTTCTGTATATTATCTTCTCGTCCCTATGCATTACTCTTTTTCTTTAACAAACATGTCTGAGCTTCTGAAAGTAGATTTTTTTTTTTGAAGTATATACCAGCAGTTTCTAATAGCTTAATTCCAAATCTATAGTAAAAATTTTGCAAGGCAAATAATTTTTGCAACTTTAACTTATAATTTTTCTTTCTTTTTCTTCCAAATGAAAAACTGCGATTAATTTAGATAAACTGCCGGACACCTAATAAGACACTTCAAGATTTTTATTTTCATCTTTTAAATGAAACCTGGAAAATTAGAAGCTTGTTATTAACTGATGCTTAAGAGTTCCTATTCAGTTCTAAACCAATGGAAAAAGTATAGATTTTCCTGTAGAATGTGAGAGGTATCTTAAAATGATAATTGAACTTTGTTTACATATTTTGAATGCTACTGTTAAACACAATGACAAACAATAAAACCCACAAATACTATATTAAAAATATAGGATGAATACTTACCTTTCTCTAATAAAATCTGCTAAGTCCTTTGTTGACAAATGTCCGTGTTTCATATTGTGATAGAGGACATCAAAGCCATTGTTCCTTTCTCCCTAAAGATAAACAGAAAGTAGAACTATGAAACACAACATGCTGAATAGATGCATTTCCATAATTACTTTTCCTTTTAATCACTTCATTAGGATGTTAATTATTTATAATGCTTCTGGTTTTTAGCAATTGCTAAAAAGTTAGTTCCCATGAATCCCATATGTGTAAACTAACCTAAGATCAGCTCAGCTGCTACCACTACCTTTCTATCTACATATTTCTAGGCTATAGTCAAAGACATTTCTGTAGTAGATTTCTAGGAGTTTTGTATTCTTTCACTTCCCATCATATTAAGCACATACTAAATGCCATACTCTCCATTTATCCTCATCTCTTTCATTTTACATGAACTAAAATTCAGTTAAGATTACCTGATATCCTACTTCCCCAATCCTTCACATTTCATTTCTCTTCTCCAGCTTTTTGCAAAATTGGTGAAAAAAATATCACTAATCTTTTCCTTCTCACTTGTAGCTTCTCTGTCTATTCTTAAGTTTAGTTTTAAGACATTTTCCAGTGAGTAAGGCACACCTCACTATTAAAACTGAGACACTGCTCTAAGCACTGACTAATAAACTTAGCCAACTTATGACCTCTGGCACTATGAAGAACTTCATCCTTACAGCAAAAAGCAACAACAGAAATGAAAGGAAGGCAAGGCACAGCATAATAGCACTGCTACTATTAAAGTTTTCCTGTCAGACTATCCATTCCCCTTCTCCCTCACAAAAGCTTGAGATCTGTAATGTTGCTTCTATATAAGGTGTGAATTGCACCCTCAGGAAAACTGCATGCATGTTCAGACTGGAAGGGAAAGAAGAACAGGATGGTATAGCATAGAATGGAATAGACTATTTCAGCTGGAAAGGATCTACAGTGATCATTTAGCCCAGCTGACTGAGCTCTTTGGGGATGACCAAAAGTTTAATCATGGTGTTGATGACATTGTCCAAATGTCCCTTAAATGCTGACAAGCTCAGGGCAGTGATTACCATCTCTAGGTAGGCCATTCCAGTGTTTGACCACCCTCCAAGAGTAAAGAAATGCCTCCTAGTGTCCATCTGAATCTTCCTCGGCACAGTTTTCAACCATTCCTACATGTCCTACCCTTACCTCCCAGGGAGAGGAGATGGGCATCACAATCCCAATTTCCCCTGCTCAGGAAGCTATAGAGAGCAATGATGTCACCCCTCAGTCTCCTTTCTCCAAACCAGACATGCCCAAAGTCTTTAGTCGCTCCTCACAGGACATGTCTTCCAGCACTCTCACCAACCTTTTTGTCCTCTTCTGGATGCATTCAAATAGTTTCACATCACTCTTAAAATCCTGAACTTTTAACAAAGGCAGATCTATACTGTCAGTGAGAAAAGCCCGAAAATTTGGTCTTATACCCTTCCAAACATTTCTGCCTGTTCAGTTCTGCAAAAATTTGTTTGTGCAGCCATAAAGCAAAACTTATCAGGGAAATTATACAGCTGGAAAATAAAGCTGGCAAATAAAACCAAGAATCACTGATCCAGACCACTGCAAGGAAACAAACAAGCTGTATTGCTCAGCAGAGGAGGGGGGGCTAGGAGGAGAAAGAATGCAGGGATCTGACGTCTTTAAATAAGGAGAAGCAGTCATGGGTGGATGGAAAAACTTCACAGCAGCCGTGGCATTAAGACCATTTCCACTAACTTTGAAGTTGCCTTAAAGGACAATAGAGAGATACATAAATTTACAAATAATAGATAACTGAAGGCAATTTGATACAAATTACTAGTCAGGATTATTTGTTTTACTTCTTCCAAGCATAGGGAAAAACAAAACCAAAGGAAAAAAAAAAGAAAAAAACACCTTAAAAAATCATAGTTTCCATGGCTGAAGTAAGCTGTAACCTGAAAACGTGCACCAAAATTCAGATTAGTTTGGTATAAGTGCAATTACAGTCTATAAAAAGTATAAACAAAACTAAATAGAACACATGAAAATACAGCAAACTCTTAAAGGACTCTCCACAGAGCAAGGCTTTTACAAACTTGAAAAGTAAAAGAAAGATGAGAACACCAATTATTAGAAAATGCAACTTTATTTAAATGTTGTCCTACTCAAATACCAGTCTAAATAGTTTCTTTCCCCTTTCACCCATATTTAAACAATTTTCTTTGTAGTTTAAAGTCTACAATAACTCTGAATACTGGTGCACTAACTTATTAACTTTATGTAGTTACTTAATATAAACCCTGAATACCACTGCATTGTAATTAAGACTTCATTGGTACTTTCAATTAGAATACAGAATATAATTCTTATTTAACTTCTCCAAAGTTGTAACTGTACCCAAATTTATAGATAAACATTTATAAATAAATGTTAGGCATTTCTTCCTGAAAAACTAATAAAATTTTTCTTTGTGAAATGTTCTTTGCTTTAAGGTGTTTCTTCCAGCTAAATCATCATGTTACCAAAATGTGCTGAACATAGGTCGCTTCTAAACTTTTCATAATGGAAGCTTTTAAAGGGGCCTTTTCTACATGGAGTTCTACAAATTTCCTGCCAATTTAGAAATGCAGGAAGGGTAGCACAGCCATGACCTAGCCTCTGGCTGCAGCATTCCTGATAAACTGTCAGAAATGTAACCACACGAATCTTTAGAGAATGAAATGAGCCTGAACAACCAACTGCCATAATTATCTTGTTCTCTAAATGTAACTGAAGGTTACTGCAAAGGAAATAATTTTTCCACTTAAATTAGGTCTTCTAATCAGTCCTATTATTTTTCCTGACTTCACAATGATTAGTTGTGAAGAAAGCATGACAGAGAAACAGAACAGATGCTTTCCTCTACTGAGTCCCCTGAAAGCCTCATCTCTTACACACTATCAATGGTTATCAGAGGTTAAGAACCTATGTGCAAAAGACATTAAATTTTGAACAAAGCAGCAAGTCAAAAGTAGGCTCACAGATTTGAGGGCCTATTTGATTTAAGTCTGGCACACCTAAAAGACATGTCTTCACTTGTAAATATAATGTGAAGTATAACGTATATTACCCGTATCAAGCTCTATCTAAAAGCACAAACATCCAGACTTCAAAACTCTTCACACGACCAGAAGTTCTGACAACTAACCTGATGATTATTCTTCTCATGTTCGGAGACATACACGTACCCAAACCAAATTAAGTACAGTGGCTCAATGCAGAGAGCAGATGTTCTGCTTTAGAAAAAACTATACAGCTTTTCCATAACTTCTCCATTCCATAGTTATATTCATGAAGAGCAGCAATCAAAGTTAAGGCTCTGTATTTAGTATAACAAGACAGATGTATGTGGTGGGAAAAGGAGAAGTTGTTCAATTTACAAAAGCCACGTATTTATCCTCTTACATGCACATATGCCATCAACAATGTTTGTGTTTTCGTTGTCTTTTCTCAACATTTCTCCTTCTCACACACACACTGTATAGAATTCTGGAAATTTTGTGTCTTAGACACTTCTTCTTCATTGGGTGTTTTTACTTGCTCCTTCCTAGTGGCAACAGTAATAGCTGTGATCACTGGAAGACCAGTACTAGCTTACTTAAAAATAAATTAATGCAGCATATAGCAGAGGGAACGGATGAAACTTTGCATTCTCATTCATAAGCAATTACCATTCACTGATATAACAAACAGTTAAGTCAGATGCAGATTCTTCTTCTGTAAGTCGCATAGTGGAGAAAGACAATATTCTGTTGTCATGTATAATATCAGGCTCTAGGTAACAGACTTCCAGATCAGTTTAAAAGATCATTCTGAATGTCATTTTGTAGGTAAACTACCATCTGTTGAGGTGATCCTGTCATTACTCAATAAAAAACAAACGTAAAAATGTGTATGAGAGTGCAAAATGTAAGTCTCTCCACATAGGTATGATTTAGTTACTCTGGAATCCATTAGCAGTTCTCTCCTTCTTACTCAGAGCTAACAAAACTCTCTTCAGAAGATTGTGTTTGTTCTGAGATTTCCTATTCTATACTACTGTAAGAAATCTCTTCTGTACCTACAGCACAGATGTCCCCTGAGAGCAAGCCATTAGAGAAAGCAATCAAATACAAGTAAACAATACAATACTTCAAATACAAGTAAGCACTTAAATAAGCCTACAACGAAGCATTACTGACCAACTTTGTACACAAAACAAATTAAGTGATGGAAAGCAAGAGCAACCAGTCCTTCCATTTCCCTTCATCAAGAACTAGTCGCAAAGATTTCCTCATGGAAATGAAAGTAGCCCTGTCAGCAAATGTGTAGTCAGCAATCAGCATTTCCATGACTTGTGCATAACAGGAAACACATTACAGGAACTCTGTGGGATTGAACAACTTAAAATACTTCACATTTTTAAGAATAAGTTTGTTTGTTGCAATAAAAATTCTGAATTTAAAATCTCCATACAGTAAAATAGCCAGAAATTTCTAGGCAATCTGCAGCAGCATTTATTTTCTACATTTCAAATCAAATTGCTTGAGTGCAAGCTCTGTCTCCTTTGGATTAAAACTGTTCAACATCTATTAGTGTAAAAAGGTTATACTCTGTTACACCATTTTCTATTTACCCAGTACAAATAAATGGTTATATTATGGTGACTCTGACTGGTCAGATACTAAATTCAGGACTATGTAAACTCATTTTAAATGCTCTGACAAACACTGTTGTCATGTTCTTTATACTGTTAATCCTTGTTGCAGTTTCAAATAAATAACATGTCTTCCATGCTTTCTACCTAGAAAATAATTTAATTTAATGGGCCCTGAATACATAAAAACACTCATGTGATTAATATTATGGTCTTACATTTTTTGAAAGTTACCTATCTGTAAGTTTCCATTTCTGAGTGTCTGAAAGAGCTGTAGAAAATTGAGAGCATTGAAATGTGAAAGAAAAGCAGTCACTGGATGCTTACACGGGTAATGAATACATCTTATTCGGTTCTGAAAGTTTTGAGAAGACTGGACACAAAAACAACCTGTCAACTTCAATTCTCACCTTCCTGTTTCAAAATATCAAACAAAGATCAGCTCCAGAGAAGCTCTACGCATATGAGGAAGGACAGAGATTTCCCACTATACATAGGTGACTAAAAATATTTTTTAACTAACAGAGGGAAGGCTGCCAACTCATGCTACATGCACTCATACAGAGAGGATACTAAGTACATGTTGCACAACAGATCTCCTGAAACAGAGCATCCAGCTGTATGCCCAGCAGAAGAGTAGTGCTACACAGACCTATGGATATAACTCCAGATGTCAGCATGACAAGTCTTTGTGTCACTCATATACTCACAAGTTTGTAAGACAACACATCTTACCCTTAACAGAGCAAGCTTCTTCACTAAACTGTAATTATTAAACCAGGATACTGCCAACCTTTATGCTCCACAAAAAGTATTTGGAAAAAAAGCCCACGAATATTCAACACAGCCATTCTCAAAAGCTACAAGTAAAGCAATCAATTAATTTTTTTTTTAATTGTCAAAGCCAATTTATACATATGTTTTTATATGCCAGAACTTCCAAAGTTACCGAGCACAGAGTTACACAGAAACCAGCTTCAGCTATTCACAGAACTTCCAATAGCTTAATTCATTTTGTTAATTTTAAACAATTCATAAACAACCACTGACTGGTTTGGAAGGTGCTTATTTTTCTGGACTTGTCAGTAGTTATTCCTTTAAACTATGTCATAAGAATTACCTGCACTCGTCAGTTTAAATAAAACATCAAAGTCTAAGCACTATTTTCTGTTACAAAACCAGTAAGTCAATAATCAACAACACTTTCTATACTCCTACACCAGTAACAGAGTACTCAAAGTGACAAAATGTAGCTATGTTTAACAGAAATAGTTTGATAGTGTTACCTTTAAATTATGACATTGTTTTGGTGTAGCACATGCACAGCAGCAAGCATGCAGTGTTTTATGACAATACTAATTAGGAGTTGGGAATATTTGGACATGTGACTTGAACGCATAAAACTCAGTCATAAGAATCAAAGCCACTTATAGCCTGTACTACTAGTTCATAACTTTTGATACCCAAAAATATCCTCCTGGCTTGGAAAATTGCTCTAGAATGTCATGCTGCATTAGCAGACCCTTACAGTTTTCAAATGATAGTAAATTTTTGAAGTGACAGTAGAGGTCTCTACTTCAGCTTTACACATCCTGAAAACAGTCTTATTTATCAATCTCATTGACCTCTTACAGAACACTGAAGACTTAGCAGGCTCATCTAATTTTCTTACATCCCCTAACAAAAACAAAACCAAAGTGTGCAATTATTTAAACACTTTCACAAGCAGTGCAAGAGGAAAGCCTCAGGACAATTTTCAAGACTTACCAAGAAGGTAAGATTTGTTTTGTTTACATGAGCACATTTAGGAAGACAGCAGCTTAAATAGTGTGTAAAAAATTGATACACTCATACACATGTCACTCCCCTTTTCTGGAGAAATCATTAAAGTCCCTTAAGTTTCTGATCTCTTTTCCTGTTACTTATAGCAAATTACGAAATCAAGGGAGAGTATCACACAGCTTAAGATCCAGACTTCCATTTCCAATGTACAATTTCAGTTGCAAGTTTATGACAACATCTATGTCAAATAGCTGAATATTAATTATGTTTTGGATACATTTTTATACCAGTGTTTTAAAAAGCATAACTATCCTATTCCACATTTCAAAAAATATTTTGTCTGGGGTTACCTAGAAGAATAAGGAAGAAATGACAACACAATCCTTCTGAAGTTCTACATACTACTACTTTCCTTACAAATTTATCTTCATTATTTTTAGTCATCATGCATTCAGTGCATTTTCATGTATCTTCTAATTCCCATCTTAACTTTCTCACCACAGTTCAGAGCCTACATGGACTGCTTCCCAAGTCTTCCAAAGCAGCAGCAATTTTGAACAACAACCTATTCTGAAATGTTAGTGCAAATGAAGATGATTAACGATTAAAAATGCACAAACCTATAATTTATGTCTACTTCTGAGGATATACAGAAACTCAATACCTTCAGATTTTCAAATCCATCATTACAGTTAATCTTGAAAAATATTCACCCACAGCAGGAAAGAAGGAGCATTCCCTAGTCCTTTTAATTTTACTTCTATACAAAATAAAACCCTGTCTATGGTATCACAAAAATCTCTCGGTGAAATTTTGCAAGTTAAGACCCTGTCTAATGTCTTTGTCATCACCACAAGACAAACACAAACTTCTTGTCCTACCTTGTGTCATTTCTGACACATGAGAAAAACCTGTACTAACAGAAGGAATCACCCATGTCTTAACTCACTGGTAACGCACACTAGGGGTTTTGCTAACAAAGCTATAGCTCTTTAAAGCAGAAAGAGAAAAATGGGAATTTGAGGTAGATATCTTCTACCTCATACTTCCTGGAAGCATTTGTGAAGACACAGACGTGGAAACAGAACACAAGGGAATGGCCCATTGCCTTCACCAATTTAACTGACTTACTAACAAAACAAAACACAACTGATCAGACAGTTAAATGAACATACCACAGTACATAACAAAGCTTAATAGAAAAGCTCAATTTCAGTTGTGATAGCTGAATAAATGACTTCTGTTTTGCTTTAATCTTAGAAGAAAATAGAAGCTTTTCCAATCAAAATGCATCTTTTTGTATTAATTTTAATCTAATTTTTATGAAAAATAAAATTCTTCCACATGTTAGTTTAATACTGATCTCCCACACTGAGGCTTCAAATTAAGCAGATTTGTACTTGTAAGAGAGAAAATCTAGTATCTTGGGTCATTAAATTTTAATAGTATGTTGAGAGCAAAGGAGTCAGAACTAAACACAAGATTGCAAACAAAACATAAATTTCAGCTATGCCTTATATTCGACAACAGGGTAATTGTGAAATTAGTTTTTCCTGAACTTTAAGCATAACTGCTGCTTACAATTGAAACAACATGCGTCTAAAGATATTTTGTCTCTTTTTCACTTCAGTCTCAAGCAATAGCAATTTTTATGTTTCTGCTACTTCTTGGTAGAGAGGCACATAAAAAATTAAATAAGAAGCAACTTTGTAAACAGTCCGGTGACTACGAGAACGCTTATTTTAAGGTTTCAAACTAGCAATGGTCACAATGAAAACTAGTTGCATTTCACGCGAAACTCATTTAATTTTTTATCCATATGTATTTACCCACTTCAAAAACCAGATATTTGCGCAGAGATGACTTACAAGATCGCATGTCCAAAGGAAGCTGGAAAGCCTGTTGTTTCCCTAAGCCGGCTGTTGCTCGGCCGTACCTCCTCACGGGCACACGGAGACGAGCTACCGGTACAAAAGCGCGGAGCGCCGAGGCGCATCTCTGCCTTTGCGTGAAGCAAACGTGAAGCTGCGACAGCCCGTGCTGTTCTCCCGTACAGCACCAAGACCCACTGCAGCCCAGGCCACCCCAGCCACCGTGCTGACTGCGAGCGCCGGACCCCTGCGCACACAGCGGCGTCCGCGCACCCCTCGGCCCAGCGCTTCACGGCAACCACCCACCCCATGCTATCCGGTCCCATACCGTCCTATCCTATACCACCCCATCCCTCTTCCCGCCGTCTCTCCGCAGCGGAGCCCGAGCACGGCGGCGCGGGCAGGGCCGGCGGTCCCCTTGCCCTGCCGCGGGCTGCAGGTACCCCGCTCACCGGGGCCCAGCCCCACCGTGGCGGGCGCAGCGGGCACGAACCCCCCGCCGCCAGGCCCCGGCCCAGTCCTGGGGGTGGCGTAAGAGCCGAGGCTGCTCTCACAGCGGGGACTGCGGCTACCCCGCGCCGCGCCCTGCCCGTTCCGCCGGCGGCGCGGCGTCACCGGCCCGCGGCGCTGCCCTACCCAGAAGCTCTCCACGAAGTACGCCATCCTTCCTCCGCCGCCCGGCCACCGGCGAGCCCGGCTGCGGCCGCCGAGACGCGACGGAGGAAACGGGCGCCGCCGCCGCGATCCGCCCTTCCCGTGACGGAGCAGCCGCTCCCGGCCCGGCCCGGCCCCGCGCCTGCGCTCGGCCGACGGCGCAGCTGCGCAGGCCCGGCAGCGCGGGGAGCGGCAGGCGCCCTCTGGCGGGGGCGGCCGGCAAGCTCGGGTGGAAGCCCCGCGAGAGCCAGAGGGCGCCGGGGAAGGGCGCGCGCAGCGGCACCGCGCACGGAGGGGACGAGAGGCCTGCTCTGGAAGGGTCTTCACCCGGACGGTGGCTGGGCTCTGATAGAGGCTCCCCAGGGAAGTCGTCACAGCACCAAGCCTGACGGAGATCAAGAAGAGGCTGGACAACACGTGTCACGAGAACACAATGCGATTCTTGAGGATGTCCTTTACGGGGCTAAGAGTTGGACTCGATGATCCTTGTGTCCCTTCCAACTCAGAATCTTCCGTGATTCTGTGAAGTGGCTTCACATCCAAGTCTTATTCCAACGAGGTAGGGTGAGGTCCTTGAAAGCAAGGTCCTTGATGATGACTAGTCCTGCAGGGAACTTGGCTGATAAAGCATAGTCAGCCCTCCTAACAGCATTGTTCCATGGGATTTTATGGTTCCAGTGGCATGCTCCTAATAAAGATGCACCTCATCTAAAGCCCAAAGTGTCTGCAGAAACTGATTAATTCAGATCTTCACCTTCTTCTGTGACGGGTCAGTCTGTAGACCCTTGGTTGGCTCAATATAGAGTAATAAGCAGTGGGGGTGATGCTAATTATTGGTCCAGAACACAGGGCCACTCAAGTGGCACCTCTGGCCAATCTGTATTTGGAGTGTTCCTTTTCCATGTGTGTATGTGTGTATATATATATGTGTGTGTGTGTATATATATACATAGATAGGTAGTCTTTGTTGCAGAGTCTTTGTGAGACTCCGGAGAGTTCCCGTTCTACCTTAATAGGATGATTCCTTGCGCAAAGTAGTAGTCATGTTTTCATTATCAACCAAAATAAAATGGAGGGCCAGGTCTAAGCAGCAATGTGAGGGGCTGCAGCTCATTGCCCGATGCAAACATGCAGTAAGTGCTTTATCGCAACTTGACCTGTGGTTTTGTCAGCACAAAGTTTTATCCAAACCAGAAAAATTAAGATGGTGATATTGTCAGATAGGTGTTCAAGGAGCTTGCCTCCCTTGTGGAAACCATTAATTCTGGTGTGAAAAACCTCACATTCTTTCACGTTGACACTAACAGTTTTTGTACTTTGTTCTGTATGTTATTAGGTAAGGCATAGAGCAGAACTTTCAAGACATCCCTTAGAACCTGATGAATTCACCAACTTGTATCAAATTTATGCTGATTAAAGACTTCCATGAAAGAAAATGGTTAGGAGAAATGAAGTTCAGAAGTTTACAAAGCTACAGAATTTCATCTACCTCTACTACGGATATTTTTTTGTGGAGGATGAGCAGTATCATTCTGAAATGGTATAACAGTTATTGGTAAATGGCTGTACCTTTAGTCCATCACTTCTGTAGCTCCATGGTGAGTTTAGAAATTCCATTCTTTCTAGCAATGTTCTAGCAAAGTTCCAGTGTATGCCAAACTGATAAGTTGTCAATACAGGGAAAATTCCTATATCTTTCACACGACAAATTTCTTTAAAAGTCCCAAGACTATTAGATCTGGATCTCTCTCTTTTGATAAGAGGAGCATGTGTACTGTAATTTTAAACAGTAATAACATACTGTAGTGATATGGATAGGTAAAACTTTACAAAAGGAAGCCTTGTAAAATCATGGCTCACTCCTGTTACTTTGGCTAAGTAGAAAAGGCTGCTGGGAGTGACTCAACTGAGTTAGAGATAGAAAAACAAGTTGTATAACCATTGTGTGTTCACATTGTTGTGTATGGTGGTTGGTTGGATGATGTTTGTTGTATTTTAGAAGTACATAACTGATAAAAGGCTAACTGCTTAAAAAGACCTAGTTTTTGCAATAAAGAAGTTCTCTTTTGCACCTGTCAGGGGACTCTGCATTGCTCTGCTTTGTAACACTATGGGAATACATTTTTGAAGAACACACCTTTAGTCCTCTTTTTACTTAATATAAGTAAGCGGTCTGCATTATGATCTGTTCTGGAAAAAAAAAGACATGGTTATAGTACATGCTGCAGTGTGCATTTCAATCTGTAAGGATGTACACCAAGACAAACAAAAGATAAATGCCACATGAGCAGAGCTGAAGCTTTCCATTGCATAGCAGATAGAAATACACCTTTCACAGGGACAGATATTATGCTATGACGGAAGGAGTTCACGTGTGTGTTTCACAGAAAAGTTCCTGTCTTCCATATTTTCAAAGCTATATAGTTCTCCCTTATGTGCTGCTATACTAGATGTGAAGCAACTGTTGCAGTTCTTCAGCAATCTACCATGACAGAAATAGCAAAACCATCCTCAGGTTTTCAACAGCTTTCCACATAAATTTGAGTGAAATGCACCATCTTAACGTTAAGGCAAGCTCCAGCATAGGTAGAGTTATACAGAAAAACACTTTGATCTGTATCATGATCAGGACAGAGATTACATTTTGAGACTTTTCTACATAGAGAAATCAATAATGGATTACTTAATGTGGAAACAACGTCCCTTATTCTGGAAGTCCCTGGTCTGCACATTAGTGAAGTCTTTGAAAATACTTTGCAATAGTGTCATTTACACTTCTTTAATCTTCTTCCCTAGGTATGCCAAGGACCAGATACTAGGTTAGGTGGTTAGGTAGACTCTTTGTCCCAGTACAGTCATTCTTTTGTTCTCCTCCTGTAATGGAGGCAGAGAGAAAGGGACATTATTTTGAAAGCCATAAATACACAGTGAGTCCTGTATAATAAAACAAGAATTCCTTGCATATTTTCAGCAGTGTTCACAGAAGATCAAAATAGTTTTCTGGATTGCTAATTTTTTAATAGTTTAGAAAAGCAGTTCCTCTCATCATCTACATGAGTGTAAGGTTAAAGAACCATCACAACAAACCTCACTGGAAGGGTATGAAGAACTAAAGAGACATCTTAGCTAACTAGTTCACCAGTTATATTTTATGTCTCAGTTTTAAAGAATTAAAGAAGAAACACTCTGGAATGAGTAGCTTCCCTTTACAGGCTTAACCAACCCTTTTCCACCAATAAGGAACAGATACGACTAGAAGTGAAAAAATAAGAATTTACCAACAATCGGAACAGCAACAGGCAAAGAATAACAGTGAACAATTGCCAGATACAATATTGCTACATCTCACGGGGTACCTCCCCGCAAAGATGGCTCTCCCCGGCCAAGCATATCTCATGGACAAAGGGAAAAAGAGTGCCAGTCCTCCCTCTGCTCACTGCTCTGCTTATCTCCCTGATGGCTGGAGCTCCAGCTGGCATTCTCCGGATCACAGGGCTAGAACTCGTGGAGGGCCTTCACTTTTCTCTTGCGGGAGATGGTAGGGCAGGAAAGGCAGGACAGCTGGGCTAGGTGGCTCGCGGTCTTCTCTCCTGGGCCAGGCGCAGCTGGTGGAATTTGCCCTGCGGCAGACCAAGACCACTAACTGCAGCTTCTCTGAGATGAGAAAAAAAAACCAAACCCAAAAGAGAACCCAAACCTGAAAAGCCTCTGTCCACACTGCCTCGGCACTATAGCAAGAAGCCAAGAGCCAAAAAAAGCAGCCAGAGTGAGAGCTCTGCCTCAGCAAAAATGAAGAGCCCAGCAAGGCAAAAATCAGGCGGTCAAAGAGGCCGAGCTGCCTGCAAAACCCGAATTTAAAAATACTCACAAGCAGCACCTCCCCAGTTCCATTTTCCGGCAGTAGGGTCTTAAAGAGACAGTAACAAATTTTGGGCACAGATAGATCTGGAATACAGTAACGTTCTGGGTTACCCACGGCAGAAAATAATGCTAGGGTTTTTTTTTTTTTTTTTTTTTTTTTTTTTTTTTTTTTTTTTTTTTTTGTTTTTTTTTTTTTGTTTTTTTTTTTTTAAGTATGGCATTTGGCATTAATATGGATTGAATACATGTTAAAGGAGGCATTTAGCTCAGTTTGTCTTACAGAAAGAGTATCCCTGATTGTGCAGTTCACTATCTGCATCTCCACATACCTGTTCTCCCATATTTCCAGCTTCTAGTTTTGTAAGTGTTAATATTAACCTTTTTTCCAACAGAAATAAAGGTTGTATTTTGGTTTTACTTATAGCAACTAAGTTAATTTGTTTTATGTCTATCTGAAAATGAATTATAAACTCTGTGTAAAATAACTGTATTCAATTATCAGTAAAATACATGAATTGCACGTACTAATTTTAAGATTAAAAAAAAAATAATCCAAAGAAAAGAATACTCCAAACAATTACCAAAAATAACACTGATTATTATATAACTTATTGCCATAATGAGTTGCCAGTGAGCTAGCTGAAATGTAAAGATCCTTATAAATTAAGAGTTAAGGAACAGATTCAGATAAAATGTATACTCTAACACTATTTGAAAGTTCTGTTTGAAAGATTGCAAGCAGCAGAAGGGGATATAAATAGCCAGAGTTGTTTACCACTGTGGTGGAGAACAAAAGATGAAGTGAAAGGCAGAGTGAATTGTTAGCAAATTCCTTTTCAGAAGTTGTTTCAGTTTGGTCAGTACTGTTAGGCTACTTTGTAGGACTTAAAAGCTACCAGGATTATGTTCTAACCAAGCAATGGTACCTGCATACCTGCAGACACTACCGAGAAGTTTAATAATTCACTTGCTTATGACCTACATATTACCTTCATTACTAGACAATTACGGCAGCCTTTTTGTAACAAAAATTTAACAAAAATCCCATAGGCAAAATGCTAGTGCTGGTAAAAGTTAGGAAAAAAAATCTGGAAAAAGAGATTATAAAGTTAGCAGCAAATACAGCTAACTTGAAATAATTTATTCAAAGGGAATTCTTCTAGATAATCTTAATACAGGCTAAGTCCTTTTCTGAAATACATGCATAAACTGAAAATGTAGTCTGATGAGAGAACATTGCTGGAATTATGGCCTACACCACACTTTT